TGAACTCGCTGGTTAAATTTCACAATTTATCGCACGTGTTTATTAATAGTTTAAATTAGTATGCCTCTTAGACATGTATAATTTACAACAGAAATCGGCTCGAATGTGAATGTCGAACTTTATTTAATTGCAAACGTGGGAAGTAATTCCGTCAATATTTATAGGTATTGTAAAGAACAATGGAATGGAATTGTTGATTTGATTTAGCATGAAGAGAAGCACGTGCAAGAAAATGATTTTACACATGTTTTACCGGGAATGCATGTCAGATGTTTCAGAAGTTCGTTAACATTATTAAACAATTTCGGTCTATATTTTGCACTTTGTGGGAAGTACCGATGGCTGTAATGCAATTTACTAACGCCTACACAAATGCCATTTTAAAAATAGCTAAAACTAGGAATGGGAAGAACAATCTTAATTTCTAATGGCATATCACAATACTGTAATTAAATATGCCATTGTAATTACTAGTATACTAACACATAGAAAAATGAATTATATTACCATTTATAATTATTGTATAATTAACAATTAAATTAAAAACTATTTTTTTGAATTTTAATGTTTGAAAACGAGCACAATTGACAATGAGTGCCTACGCCTAGAACCTATGATCAAGGTATTTTTTATAACAGTGTGTAATATATTATATAAGATGGTTGTAACAGAATATCTTTAGGAATAATGCTACAACTCCCAGTTCAATGTATGAAATCACCTTGAAATGTAAAATGCCTAAAAGTCGATATCGCTACTAACAAAAAAAAACAATCACAACTTAAGCGGTCAATTTGATATGTTTTGACAATATTTACAAGGGAAATTGTAGTGAACAAGGAACATGAAAGTCATTGCATGAAAATAAGGCAGTAATTATCAAATCAATCAGACCATCTCAGACCTTCTAATCTAATTTTTCTAACGGGTAGTTACAAAATCAGGGCAGAAAAAAAATTACCGACTCTTAAAGTTCGCCCTTAATATTTCCCTGCTAAAGATATCAAATTCACTTGTATTGATATTCATTTCTTTAAAATCTATCTAATATTAATAATAATAATAATCATAATAGCCTTTATTTCTCACACATTTTATATATAAAATATACCATGAAGAGAACAATACAAGTTTCCAAAGATGCGGAGAAATCACACGGTGCCAATTCAAATTGGTAGTCAGCTACCTTGGTCTTCCATTGGGACCGTGAAGTCAATAACAGAGTTGTGCTAATTTGTTGCCTAGGATTAAATTCTGGGATGTCGGCCGAAGTTAAGATTAGTTCTGACGATTACTATTACTATCGTATTTTGTACAATTAATTAAAATTAGATTTTAACAAATATAGGAACATTTTTCTTTTAAACAAGGACACTGATAACGTTTTAAACTCAGGTGGTATGTTATTGTAAATTTTATAAATTTGATACTGAAAGGTTCGTTCAAATAAAGCAGTGGAGTGTTTAGGAGGAGAAATTAAACCACAAAATCTTAAATTTAAGTTGTGAACGTCCGTTCGAAAGCGGATTTTGTTATAAAGATACGCTGGTTTCTTATATAAAAGCACCTTATGGCATAGTGTTGCAAATAGTAGTTTTCTCCTGTTATTCATGTCTAGCCAGTTCAGATCACTCAACTTATGGGAGATGTGCTCAAACTTGCGTATGCCGAATATCATACGCATGCAGCTATTTTGTACCCGTTGGATACGCTTTGCCACGTCTTGCGTTATAGACGACCAATAAATTTCGGAACAATAGTTAAAGTGGGACAGTACAAGGGAGTTACAAAGCATAGCTTTTATATGAATTGGTAAGGTTTTTCTGTGCGGGAATAACAATTTCAAATTCATAATGCTTCTCTTTATGTAAGTGTTAATTTGTGTACTATATCTGAAAGAGTTATCAATAGAGAGGCCTAAGTTTTTTACTTCAGATTGGAGAGGTATGGTCGTCTCGTGCAAAGTGAAGTTGAGTTTGTCTTTTATTGAATTGATTTTGTCTTCATTCCCAAAAACTATGATTGAAGATTTTGATGGGTTTATGAATAATGAGTGCATGTGTGAAACTGATTCAATGGAGTGAAGGTCTTCATTTATTTTACGAGTAGCCTCCTCTACGCGAAATGAATACAACATTTGTGTATCATCGGCAAACTTCTTCAATTTGCAATGCTTAATACATTTGTCAAACTGGTGAGTATATATAATAAACAGCAGTGGGCCCAAAATAGACCCCTGTGGAACACCTTTTGAAGTTGATAAAAAATCTGATTGAGTAGCTTTAATTTTTACAGACTGACACCGTCCAGTTAAGTAACTATCAAACAATTTCACTGCTTGACATGACAATCCAATGCTTTCCAGAATAGAGAGAAGAATGCCGTGATTGATAGTGTCAAAGGCCTTGCTATAGTCTAACAGTGCCAAGACAGAGATGAGTTTGGAGTCAGTAGCAGTAATAATGTCATCGACAGTATCGATCAAAGCTGTGGTGCAGCTATAATTCGGCCTAAAGCCGGATTGGTGATCAGGAATTATGTGTTTTGCGTCAACGTATGCTCTGAGCTGGTCATTCATTATTTTTTCTATTATTTTGGACATCACTGGTAATATGCTTATCGGGCGCAAGTCTTTAAATTCATTTGGGCGAGGTGTCTTTGGCAATGGAGTTATCACAGCTTTTTTCCAGGCTTCCGGATAAATACTTGTTAAAAGTACCATATTTATAACATGAGTAAGGTATGGTTCGATAATTGGGCAGAATAGTCTTAGGATGTTGATATTAATTCCATCGGAACCATAAGCAGTTGACTTGATACCACTTATGATTTTCGCAACGTGGCTTGTTTCGACAGTAGAGAATTTAAAAGACTGATTATGAATTATTTTATTATTTTTATAAAAGTTGATCAACTGAGTTACGTTTTGGTCATTTGAGTTAGGAATTGAATTTACAAAGAAGGTATTTATAGCTTCTGGATTATCTAAATGGGCGGGTAAGTCAGGTTGTACACTATTTGGAGATAAAAGTTGCTTTAACTCTTTCCAGAGTTGTTTATTGTTAGAATTAATCTTGTGCTTGAAAAAAGCTGCCTTTTCTTTGTGCTTGAAAAAAGCTGCCTTTTCTTGCTTAACCATGAG